GACTACATTTTCCAGCTTCCTTATAGTTATTGTAACCGTGTGATTATTTCTTGCCAATGGAACATCAGCAGAATACTATGTATTATTGTTATTTTGGGAGTAAGGCTTGTAAGAAGCTGATACATCTTCTTACTCTCCTCGTCCTTCACCTGACTACACCAAAGGTGTAGGGAATGGCAGAGCTGTGACATAGAAGACACCTGCATCCCTGGTTCATAACATGAAAGAAAGCGACCTCACCTAGAAAAACTGCAACTGGAATTTTACATGAGTAAGGAATAATGTTCTAAAATGTGAAGCCACTAAAAGTTGTGGGAGTATTTGTTACAGCAGTTAGTGTCTCTCTGATACTGAAATTTGTACACATGCCTGAATGCATTCTTGACTTTGGGGAATTCTTACAAATGCATTCTTCTCGTGTATAAGAATAGATTAATGTTCAATACATTCAAAAGAATTCTCCATGTTCAAAAAGATTCAGTTCTTATGACTCTTCTTTATTCCCCTGTCTCCCTTCTCTCTGCTACTTGGTCTCCAATTCCAAACGTAGGAACCTGGCACTGAGACAAGTTAGAATATTTCTTAAAACAAAGGAATTCTTTCAAATGAAGATAAAATAAAGCCAGTCAACTAAAACGAGGTAGGTAAAAGAAACAGTAGATCAAAAATTGGTCAGTTCATGAATCAGCTATTCAGTAAATTGACTCAGACAGAGCAGGTATATGAAATATTCTGAAAATACATTTGTGGAAAGGAGAGATGGGGAGAGGAAGGAAGGAAAAAGAATGAAATAAGGGAAGAAAAGCATTTGGTTTCAGCCATGCCATGGCTACACATCAAGTATAAATCCATAAACCCTCAAAATGTGGATACTTATTTGTTTCCTTGCCTTTGTCACATGGTAATAATTGGCACCATGTTCAATGATACCTGGGAGGGAACCAGTAAGCGGGAAATACAGGGTTATTTACTCACCATGGTCATTTTAATTTTGTATCTGAATTTTCAACTAGGAAATCTAAAGCCTAGACATGTGCAATGGTTGGTTGGTGGTAATGTTTAAAAAAGTTGCACCATTCATTGTCTATATGCAGCCAGTAAGCTTAAAGCTCCCTGTGAACTGCACATGGAAAGAGATATGGATCATCCCCAGCGACATCATGGGATCCACTGTCTAATTCCTGATTGTACTGGACTTAGTTTTTTCTCTGGGGACACAGAACAACCTCCACTAAAGATAACTTAGATATAATGTGAGATAATGATATTTGGTAATCGAATACATCAGTACTCCATCACTAAAATTGTAGTATTCCCCCAATATAAATGCTCCTACAAACACCAAGGAAGCTCACTGTCAGTTTTTAAAAGGTAACTTAGTACTTTGCTCTTGATAAGTGAAAAATTCTACCTAGCTTGACATATACTCAACAAATTCATCCAGAGTCAGATTCTATTTGGCAAAATAGGGTAGACTGTGATATTTTTTTAATTTTATCATGGCAAAAATAGTCTTGCATCTTTAGCAGAGTAATTTTTTTAACAATTCTGGATGTTTATTGAAACATTTCAAATGAAATAAGACATTCACATAGAATTAGCACATTTAAAAATTGCCATTACAAAGTTATGATTGATAAAGAGTTGTAGTCGGCCTTACTATTATTTTATTGTGTTAAGATACAAAATAAAAAAAAACAGTTGGATTCTCTAAATTATATAAAGCAATTGATATCATATATTTTGCTTTTTGTTTGTTATTTCCAAGTTTGGAGGGGGGAAACATTTTCAGAAGAGCATAGGTCAATGATTAATTGTTGACATAAATTTAAACACCAAGTACTCACGTTAAGCAAATGAACTATATGCCAAAATTCCATATGTTAAGTCAACTGTTTCAAATTCAGACAGCATTTAACTCTGGAAACAGTGTCCTAAATGCAATGTTGGTTTGTTGTTTTTTAAATCAACCCTTCAGATCCTACCTAGACTACAACATCCCACTAACCTGAGCATTAGCCTAGAGTCCTGGGCCCTGGAAACAAGGGTTGGGCCATTTCTCTCTGTTTCTGGATCATGAAAAAAGCCTGAGACCATTTTTGAAATATGTCAAGGTTCTGGGAATATAGAACCCTCAGAACTCAGGGCCCCTTTCAAAGTCTCTCCTTGACTCTTTTCCTGCTCTATTTAAACATGCAGATTTCTGCTCTGATTCTTGAATTTTGCTAATCCTGTTATTATGGTGCTTTTTCTCTCATCCTCTTATTATAATTATTTATTTAGTGACCTTGCCCTTCCCTTCCTTCCCACTGGAATCCTCCTACCAACACACTCAGACACACACACACACACACACACACACACACACACACAGCGAAACTCCTGCAGTGCAAAGCCTTTGTTTTATCTCATTTTCCCCATAACAACCCCCACAGCACGGACAACAGGGCAAATACAGCAGGTGTGATTACTTTCTACATTGGCTGTTTATATATTGACTATATTTAATGCCCATTTTCATTAATATCACATTTAAGTTAATGTTGCCTACTTCATATTTTATAACTTCTCCCCACCTAAACTCTGCCCCAATCACTAATTTAGAACTCTATCCAGATCAGATGATGAGTAAATTTATATTAAACCAATATCAGCTTCTGTTGGCAAAAAATAAATAAAAATAAAATTATGATTGGCCAAAAGATTAAATGCAAGGCAAGCGCTTATTTCCCTAAAGCAAAAGTCTGAGAAGGCTTTCCAACGCTCAGGCTAACCCTCTGGCCTTCTTTTTCCCAGTTTCCCAGAGGAGGCTGATACACCCCAGGGCATGAGCTCCATAGCTCTTGAGACAATTAATTGAAGCTAACAGTGGTTGGCCCAGGTGGGAGAACTTAAGAAGTACAACCTCAGAGTTACTGGGGAGGTTGACTGGGTGTTATATTCACATTAAGCCATAAGGGGGAGCCAACCACTGTGGTAAGTGGCTACAACCAGCCAGAGGGCCACACTGTTCTGAGGCTGCTGTGGCCCAAGTCCTTGAAAGAAGTGTCTCTATTGACAGATTGAGGTCCCTTTAGGAAGACACTTCAAAGACAAATCAAGGAGAACCAGAGTTCCTAAACAGTTCTGTTTTCCAAGGTTTTCATCTTGGTGTTGGTTATAACTATCATTATATGTTTTCTAGCTATTTAAGCCAAGAAAAGGAATCAATGATAAAAACAGACAGACATGCTTTGGAGGGGTGGGGGAGGGTCTTCCAGGTGTCCAGATAACACTGAATTGTATCAGATAACGATGTCTTCTAGTGCCTCAGCGTAATTAGTAACGAACTTCATTCAGAGTAACATTAAATTACCATAAATCGGATGGCTAATGCAGAGGAATAGAGGTCTCTAGCAAAAAGAGGAATAGAAGGTATATTAAAAGCTGAAGAGTATTTCTGTTTCCAGATATTGAAATAGGAACAGTTTGGTCATTCCTCTGAATGACGCCACTGTAGTCTACAGTCACTGCCATAGGTCTCTATTTCCCCCAGTATCGAGTGCTTCAGTGCATTATTCTCCTCCCCTTCAAGTCTGATAGTGGTGAACACTCTCTTAGTTGGAATAATAATCACCTAATCAGAGAAACCAAGTGAAATATAAATTTGTATAATAATTAAGCTTAAGTTTAAGAGATTATACAATTCACTGTCTTAATAAGCAGACTTCACAGGTTAAATATAGAATAAACTGAAGATAAGTGATGGCTTTTCCATTATTTTACTCAAAGGAACTGGCCCAAAGAGTTCTGTGTTCTACAGAGAGGTACCCGTTTGTCATTTTTTCTCAGTGTCATTATTTTAGTGGAACAGGAGAGTTTATAAAAAACCATGCAACCCAAGTCCCAAACAAGGACATAAACACAAACTAACCAAAGAAAAGCAAATGTATATTGATCATTTTTTTTTTACCTAACTGACCAGCTCACCCTCATAAAATGCTTCTGTAGTAGGGGCTGCAGTGTGGGCTCCTGAGTCCTTTCACGGACTACAGGAAAAGGTATCCTAACTCTTAAAAAATGAAAGTCCACTTCCAATTGCCAAGTATTTAAGTACCAATGACCATCATGCCCGAGAGTAAGGGAGCTCATTTCCACCTGTCAATCCAAGGACTGAAGTTGGCATCCCTGCCCCACCTTCGCACCAGCTGCAAGGCACCACTGCAGGGGACTGCAGAAAGCACCCTCGGAACCCAGAGCCAGAGAAAATATTCCACCCTCCCCACAGAGGCAAATCAATGAATATTACACAGATCGCGACTTGATATTTCATTTTGTCTTATTTTTTTCTCTATGCTGGCCTTTATTACTGTGGATGTTTTTGCAGAAATGTGGTAATTTTTATCTTCTTAATTAGTTCCCCATTGCATAGCGTGGCAGTGACCTAAGCAACATCAAATAATTTGGGTCCCATAGAAGACATACCCCTCTCTTTTTTGTTCTGTTTTGACTGAGACCATGCTTTTAAAAAGATACAACTGTTAATAAATAAATAAATAAATAAATAAATAAATAAATAAATAAATAAGAAAAAGGCAATCTAAACAGCTTTCATCAATATGGGAGAGAAAGAAAGAAGAAAGGAAGGAAGAAAGGAGCTTAGAATACTGTTTGGCCCATAGTTGATACTTAAATATTTATTAAATGAATTAATTACTTGGGAATTATAAAGAGGGGATGATAAAAATTAAATACATTTTAGTAGTATTCCATCTTACTTTATTTTAGCTCTCTTCATGTGTTTTACGTGCCGTTCCTTAAGAAATAATAAATGGTGACATTCTGAGTTTTGCATGGTTGTTTGAGTCTGTTTCCTGATGATGCTGTCTCTCCATTTGGACGGCAAGCCAACGATCAGAAAGCCCTTTTACTCACCCTTAGGTGTGGCGACAGTTTCATACATGCTGTCTTCTACGTAGGTTTATAGGATCAAACTCACCGTATTTGTTGTGCATACTTACACAGCGGCTCAATTTCTGCCTCAGGCTGTGAAATTCTTCCACAAAGTGTATTTCCTTGCAAACTTGTAATTGGAGTTGGCCAAAAACATCTTCCATGAAGAAAGACAGAAGCTGTTCTCGGAATCTGCAGTTTTTCTATAAATAAGGCATAAGAAATTGCGTAAGGTAAACCATGAATACCTTTTGTAAAATGCCACTGAAACATCCCCCCCCATTACTACTTAATGACCCTCAAAAAACTTAAATGCAAGGGGAAAAGCATAAAACAATTAGAAATGGGGGCGGGGTAGGGAACCCTCTGGCTTACCAGGAACAGCTTTTTTGATTTCTTTTTTAATAATCGTATATTTTTTATGTGGTCTTCCTACAATAAAACAAAAAGAAATAAGTTTTATCCAGAATTACAAACATCCTTTAGATCATCTTTCCAAGCAGAGCTTAATACTTACTGGAATTGTTGCCTTGAGCCACGCCGCCTTGACATAGAGCATGTCAACAGCCCGAGACAGGGTTCCCCTCGGGTAACAGCTCTTGGAGAAGTGAGATTGCTTGTGCTTTGCAATAGCAAGAGACAGAGTGACAAACAGCAACCCAGACGTCAAAATGCAGTTCCCCCACATTTCCCTCCACCTCACCCTGGGCCTGTGTCACTCACAGCAGCCAGAGTTACTTGTGTTATTTAGATGAGAGGATAACCTACTTTAACCCTCAAGGCTGGCTTTTTAATGAGATGCTGTGAAAGATAACTTACAGTCTATAAAGAGGAAGATCACTTTGGCTGCTCTATTTTTTTTTTGAGAGCTTGCTTCATAATCAAAAAAATGTTGACCACATCATCTATGATGTTAAGTAAAAGCTCAAATTTACTGGTAAGAATGAGGCCTCATTTCCAAAAACAACACGACAGTCAAAACTTCAGTTGCATATCACAACAGGTTTTATTATTTTTTTAGTTACTTTATTGTTGTTCAATTACAGTTGCCTGCATTTTCTCCTTAAACTCCACCCCCCCCCAAGAGATTTCATTATTTAAAAGTCATGCCATGCCAATGAAAAAGCCTGGTCTCCGGGAGGTATATGAATTTTTTCCAATTCACATATATAGAGAAAATCTCCTTTTCTAACCAGTATCCAGAAAAAAATTGAACCGAATAGTAGAATGGACGGCCCTGGGAAATCTGCTCAGAACGGCATATAGATTTTTCTATTCATCCCTTGCCAAACCCTTCACCTGGCTCCTTCCCTTCCCTCAGAAGCCAGCACTATGCAGCCAGCATCAAAACCCAAGAGAGGGGTTTGCCAACTTTTCTCAAGAATTTTTCCAGCTGAGAAATTATAACTCCCCTAATATATTCAAGATTTGTTTGGAACTGGACCTGGGACTAACGTCCACAATTCCAAAGATGCTTTATTATTTCTAGCGAAGTTGACCACATGGACTTTTCTTCTAACTCTGGCCTTCCAGGACCGTGGGAATTCCTTGGGGAAACAGACCCTGTCTTTCTATCTTTGACTCCTCAGTACCTACCATGGTGCCTCATCCAAAGAAGCACATCTAATATTTGTTCAATAAACACTGCCTTTTTGCATCATGAGATACTACTATGACTTTTTTTTTGTAAAATGTATTCCATCAACAAATTTTTATCAAGGATTTTCCAGTACAAAGAGCAGTGCTGGGTACTAGGGGCCATGAAGGAGATGCTCCGTGGAGTCCCATCCTCAGGTCTGCACCAGTCCTTTCAATGGCGATACGTGTGGTTCACTTTGGGTAGCAGCCCTGACATAAGAAGTAGACATTATTGTTGATGCTATTATTGAGAAGGAGAACTAAGCCACCAAAGCCTGGCATGAACAGAGGTAACATAGTCCCAGGCAGATCAGCACTAGGAATCTGGTCATGAGTAAGAGATTCACCAACAGTGGGCAGAGTCCATAACAAGCACCAGATCCTAAAACTAAGCCCTAAATCAAAGCAGTCAGGGCTGGCAAAGGAGTAAGGAGAAAGTATAAAGTGAAAGGTCCAAACACTTGGGAGTATTTTCTGATGTTTCGAGAAATAAGTGGATCTCATGGAAGAGCCCACACCTCATTTCCACAGGAGCACCTCTACTGATAAGCCCTCTGAAATAAGATGTGAACTCTTCACCAGATGACAGCTGACCAGGAGAGAAAGGATTTACCATGCACAAATCCAGGCATCCTCCAAAGTTTTATCAAAGCACACATGACTTAAAAAAATAGCTGTTCTACCTCATTTTCTAAGTGCATCAAAAAGAAGGTACACAGCGATGACAGCAAAAATTGAGATAGAATTTAGAAATCAAAATAGACTCCTAGAAACCGATGTATTTTTCTGTCAAAATGTATTATGAATTGGTCCATTTCTTCAGCCTGTGGCCTTGGAGCAATCAGTATAAGCTCCTAATAGACTTTACTCAGACAAGGCAATGCATTTGAAGCTCAGTTTTCAGGCCACTAACAACACGATTTCTCCCTTGAGGACTTTCCATCATACTCAGAGCAAAAAAAAGGATACATGGACAAAGCCAAAGGGGAGAAGGATTGAGAGTGGGAGGTGAGGGTGGATGGAGTGGAGAAAAGCAGTGGTGAGAAAATGGAGACAATTGTACTTGAACGACAATAAAAAAAAGGGGGGGAGCCAAAGTTCTTTCAACGGCCTAAGGGCCCTGCTGTTGCCTGTTCTCCTTCCTCTCTGGCCTGTTCTCCTCCTACTGCTCCCCTTGGTCACGTCCTCTAGACACACCTCCTGTTGCGCTTCGAACTCACCAAGCAGCCTGTGCCCTTGCCCTTGCTCTTTGCTCTCCCGGAAATGCGTTTCCCCACATATTTGCATGGCCAGCTCCTTCAAGTTTTTGCTCAAACGTCATCTTCTCAGCAAGGCTTTCCCAAGATACTTGCTTTGGGCTGAATGTCGCCCCCCACAAAGTTCGTATGTTGAAATCCTAACCCCCGGGACCCCAGAATGGGACTGTATTAGGAGAGAGATTCTTTAAAGAGGCAATAAAATTAAAATGAAGTCATCTAGTGAGTCTTAATCCAATATTACTGGTGTCCTTAGAAGGCAAGGAGATGAAGACATAGACACACACAGAGGGGAGACCACGTGTGTAAGGCACAGAGAGAAGACCGCCGTCTGCCAGCCAAGGAGGGAGGCCTCAGAAGACACCAACCCTGCTGACACCATGATGTCAGGCTTCCAGCCTCCAAAACTGTGAGAAAATTAATTTTTACCACTGTTTAAGTCATCTAGTCTGTGGTATTTTGTAATGGCAGCCCTAGAAAACGAATACAATACCTTAATTAAAATCAACCCCATTTCTAGCTCCTCCATCTTTTTTTTTCAGGTTTACTTCTTCCAAACTCATTATTATTATTTAACATATGATATATTTTATTTATGCATTTTATTAACTATCTTTCTTTCCTAAAATCTCAACTCTCTCAAGCAGGGATTTTTGTCTGCTTGGTCATTGCTGTTACCCCAGTTCTAAACAATGACTAGCACATAGTATGTGCCCAATAAATAACATCGGGTTACTGAATATACTGCACGATCACCGTAGAATGCCCTGTAAGGTGAGAAATGACCACAGGCAGTCAGAGCTCTAAGGAGGATGGAGAAAGAAATTTGGGTGCTGATATAAAAATAATAAACTACTCTGGGAGAGTCTTTCTGGATGTTTCTTCTCAACTCACTCCTCAGCAATGTTGGGAAGCCACAAGAGCTCTGTATCTTCTAGTTTTGTTTGTGAGATCTATAGAGCCCACAACAGGCATCCGCTCCCCTGATTTCAGTACTGTTTCCTGCCTTTCCTTTGCATTTCAGACCAGACCAGATCAGAAGTACAGGAGATCAGATTAGCTGTGCATCAGGCTTGATGGGAAGCTCTCATGTAGCTTGGTGCTGAGTGATGCTGGCTACTGTTTTTTGTTCTGTATCTTTCTCTCATAACTTCCTACACACTAGCTGTTTACTTCACCACAGTGAAATACATCGGGGTTTTTTTGCGTTGAAGGCCTGGGTTCTCTCCGTAGGAAGAATCAGCTGATAAGAGGTCTCTTATCCTTCCCACAAGTTGGTTTTGGCGCTCATCTCTTCCAAGGGTTATGCCCTGAATTGATGCTTTCATTAATTCTTTCAAAATACAATGTAAATTATATGTGTGCATATATATGTGTGTGTGTATATATATTCTGATGCTCATAGCAGATGTTATATATATGTGTGTGCATATACACAGATCTTATCTACCTCGAGCACCTACTATATTCCAGGCAATATTCTAGGCGGTGAGCCAAATAAACCAAATCTTTACCTTTGTGGAGCTTAAATTCTAGTAAGGAATTGCTTTAGCCAAGGTTCCTCACAAAAAGGAGCCTGAGGCAAAGCTGAAGCACTGATCCTTTCTTGTGGATCAGAGAGAGTGAAGGAAAGGAGAAGTAAAGCCATCAAAAACAAGTAGCTCATTCATGGCGGTACATCAGTAACATGGCCAGTGTTTTGTGAAGAGGGACACCAGTCTTTTGGCCACTGAACATGTCTCCAGGCAGACTGTACAGAAACATGCCTTGGGTCAGACCAAGAGAAGAAAGACAGGGGATAAAAATTAGACGGCAGCTTCCTCCATTGAAAGTTTGCCCCCCCGGGGGTGGGGGAGTTCACTTTTCACACCCATGATTATTACTTGGCCCCTTCAGCAGTCACGGGGAAGACAGATTCCACCAGCTGCCCCATGGCCCTTTTTCTGAGTTCAGAGCAGCAGAGGAACCCAAAGTGACCATTGCAGCAGCAGCTTGGAAAAGAAAAGCCAAGAGAATCTGAAATGACCCATAAGATATGCTACAGAGATTTAATTTTTATTGTAATAAATCATTTATTGTCATCAAAATAGCTAAAATCAGCATAGATTCATTAGTTGTAACAAGTGTACCACTCTGGCAGGGGATATTAATAATGGCAGAGGTTACACACATTTGGGGGCAGGGCATGTATAGGAAATCTCTGTACCTGCTTCTCCACTGTGCTGTGAACCTAAAATTCTAAGAAAATAAACTCTGTTTTGTTAACAGTCAACAAGATGAAACAATAGTACAGCCATGGTTGCATTTCATGGTTCTGTTATAACAACTTGTTGCTAGGGAAATTTAATGCAATGTTCATTAACTCTGGCTTATACTCAGTGTTAGATGCATTCATCATCTGCTGCTCATAGCAGATCTTATTAATTTTTCAAAAAATCTTTTTCTTTTCATCCTGCTCACAGAAACTTTGGGGGTGTCAATGTGCCTAGTGCCAGAAAATGAGCTGTGAATAGTCTAAACCAAGGATTGGCAAACTGTAGCCCACATCTAGCCCATGGCCTGTTTTTTCAAAGTCATGAGCTAAGAAGGGTTTTTACACTTAATTAACAGGGTTGAGAAGGAGGAGGAAAATGATAAGAAAAATATGTAATAAAGACCACAAGTGGTCCACAAAGCCTAAAACATTTACTATTTTGCCCCTTACAGAAAATATTTTTCCACCCTTAGTCCAGGCCAATGAGAGTCACCAGCCCATGTGCTCGTCTAACCAACACGACGTGAGAGGAGGCCTGCC